ATGGATGCAAGTCGAATCCAATATTCAAAAATCAGTCAACATCATTAGCCATTAAAGAAATGCAAATTAAACCACAATAAGACATCATTACACATCTATCTGAATGTCTGGAATTTAAAAAATAAGTGACAGCACAAAATCTGGCAAGAATTCAGAGAAACGGAATCACTTATACATTGCTGTTGGGAAAAAAATTAAACATGTGATTACCCTTTGACGTAGCCATTGTTAGAAGAGTTATCAAAGAAATGAAAACTTAATTTTACAGAAAACCTGTACATGAGTGTTTATAGCAGTTTTATTTATAATATCTAAAAACTGGAAACAACCCAGATATTTTTCAATGAATGCATAGTTAAAGAAAGTATGGTACATCCATAACCAAGAAATACTACTCAGAAATAAAAAACAGAAAAACAATTGATACAACAACCCAGATAAATCCCTAAAGAATTTTAAGGGAAAAAGAGCCAATCCATGGTTCCCCTAGCAAAGGCCATTCCCTCTGCATTATGTCCCTCTAGCCTCCTCTCTCCTGACACCTTCAACCTCAAGTGACACATATTACCAATTTACTATTTAATCTCCTTCCTTTTGCATCTTCACAATACAACTCTGATTTCCTTTTTTCTTCTTTAAGAAGTAGTGAGCACAAGGGTTAAAGGCAAAGCATTAATGCCCAGTGTATCTAGGTTTAAATCTTGGCTTTGCCATCATGGAGACGTCAATTGGCCTTTGGAAGCCTTGGTTTCCTCATCTGTCTGATAAGAATAATAATAGTACCTATCTTCTAAGGCTGTTGAGAGGATTAAATGAGCCTATGCATATAATGAGCTTGTCACAGTGCCTAGCTCAAAGTAAGCCCTCAACTAAATACCAACTATGATTATTTTTATTGCTTGGGATGATTAATAATTTGTTCTAGGAGAATTGAAAATAATGCCAATTCTACTAACATTATTAACAGTATAGCCAAAATTGAGGAATGCAAACTTTTTTCTTTAGAAATGTCTCAGTATTGATAAATGTTTTGAGTGTCTGTGTTACAGTTTATTAAAAATAAAGATGAGTTGGGCATATTGATTAATCCCAACAAAGCAAAACTAGTGGCAAATAATGGCAAATCTTAATGAGAATGCTGTCTAAAGGTATATCAAATGTAGATCTTTTGTTGAAAGGCATGGGGGTAAAAGACTGAGTTAGTCTTCTCTTATCTCTTTATGATATTAATTGGGGTTAAAAATCAATTTTCTTCTATTGCCTGCATTCTTCACCCACCCCCCAAGTTCTTTTTCTTCTGTTCGTTTTTGTCTATGCCTTTGATTTTGGTGGCTTTTTTTAAATATCTGGTGAGGCTTGGTTCTCCATTCAGAAATATTTAAGAGTAAGGCACCGAAAAGCTGATTGGAAGCTCTGTTGTAATGAGGAACTTGTAGACAGGTAGGCAACTCTTGAGGGATGTGGGACAGTAAGATAGCTTTTGTGTTGAGGGACTTTCTGGGTCTCCATAGAAGGCTCCTCTGATGTCTTGATTGGGAGGAATAAAAATGATTCCTTGTGTCCTGGCACCTGGAAGGAGTTACAGGGCTACAGGCGGAAGGTTGATTATGACTAATTAGTCTCTTATTTTCTGGCTGGTGCCTCATCCCTGCTCTCTCTGTTCCTGGAGTCCTCAAATCTGGGGCCTCACTTGTTCAAATGCCATAGAAAATAAACCTCCTCTTTTCCTAAGGGTGAGACAAGAGTAGTTAGCTGGCTTCATAAGGTAGGGTTCCAGTGCTCTTTTCAACCTCTTTTCAGTAGGTTCTCCTGCTGTCAGTCTCACCCTACATCTCAGCCTTTTCTGTACCTCCAATTCCTGAGCCCTTCTCCAGCTTTATGGAGAGAATCAGAGTACTTCAGTATGGTATTAGGAACTTTGATTTCAGGTTTCTCTGCTCTTCTAGGAGCAGAATTTGGAAAAAATAGAAGAGTTCCAGTTCCAAAATTTAGAAAAAATGAAAGACATGTACTGTCAGTTTCTGGTGCTTTCAGAAGAGAGAAGTGACAAAAATAAATGTAGTAGCTTAAACCAAAATTTTTGATACTACTTAAAATTATTTTTTTAATATTTTTTTTCTTTTTTGAGACAGCGTTTTGCTCTTGTTGCCCAGGCTGGAGTGCAATGGCGTGATCTTGGCTCACTGCAACCTCTGCCTCCCGGGCTCAAGTGATTCTCCTGCCTCAGCCTCCTGAGTAGCTGGTATTACAGGCATGTGCTACCATGCCTGGCTAATTTTGTATTTTTAGTAGAGACAGGGTTTCTCCATGTTGGTCAGGCTGATCTCGAACTCCCGACCTCAGGTGATCCACCCACCTCAGCCTCCCAAAGAGTTGGGATTACAGGCGTGAGCCACTGTGCCCGGTCTAAATTCATTTTATTTTTTAAGAGACAGGATAGGCTGGGTGTCGTGGTTCACACCTGTAATCCTAGCACTTTGGGAAACCAAGGTCAGTGGATGGCTTGAGCTCAGGAATGAGATCAGCCTGGGTAACATAGTGAACCCCACCCCTACAGAAAAAAAATACGAAAAATTAGCCCAATATGGTAGTGCGATTGTGGTCCCAGCTACTCAGGAGGCTGAGGTGGAGGATCACCTGAGCCAGGCAGGCCAAGACTGCAGTGAGCCGAGATCATGCCACTGCACTCTAGCCTGGGCAACACAGCGAGACCTTGTTTCAATGTTTTTTTTTTTTTTTTTTTGAGAGACAGGTTTTTCTCTGTTGTCCTGACTGGAGTGCAGTGGCACAATCATAGCTCATTGTAACCTCAAACTTTTGGATTCAAGCGATCCTCCTGCCTCAGTTTCTCAAGCAACTGGGACTACGGGCACGCATCACCATGCCTGGCTAATTAAAAAAAAATCTTGTTTTCATTTTTGTAAAGACTGTGGTGGAAGGGTGCGGAGAGTGTCCAATTTTATTGCCCAGTCTGGTCTAGAGCTCCTGGGCTCAAATGATCCTCTCACTTCCAAAAATGTTGGGATTACAGGTGTGACCCACAGTGCCCGGCCTGATACTACTTTTTAGAGTCATTAAATGATATTCTATACATGGTTTCATTTTTAATTTTGATTGTAAGAAAAAAAGTAGTTCGATGTATGTGACTATATGTAATTTTGAGTTAGCAGGTTAACAACTAGAACTAAATATTTTAAACATTTAGTTTTAATTTCATTAATAATTTAGAAGTCACTTATAATTTTATTATAATTACATGTGGAATAACATGTAATTGGTCCAAATAATCTGCCATATCATTTTTCATGTTTTGTATGTCATGAAAATTCTGCACAAAATTAATTTATACAGAATTTGTAGCTTTCATAAGAGACATTCTATCAAGAAAAGTTTATACTTTTAAACCTAGATTGTTATAGCAAAATTTACAGATTAAAAAGTCAAGATTCCTGTGTACATATCTCTTAAATTATCCCTGGAGATAGAAACCAAATAAGGGCAATAGGAAAGTCTGCTTATAATTTTTAATTTCTGTACCAGAAATTCTGGAATCCTAATATCCAAGCATCAATGCATTCCACCAAACCATGGAGGCTTTCTGCTACGAAGATGTCTTCCAAACTTTTAAAGTAACGAAAGATTTCCTTATGAAGTTTTCCCTTGTGGCTCTGAAGTCATACCTATGCTGGACTGGCTCCTTTTTCTCTTCCTCTGCATTTTTAGTTCAATTTCAACTGCACTTCTCAGCTATTACTTCTGTTTTGTCCTTAGTATTCACTGTTGTTCTTCCTTTAAGAGTCAATAGATTGGCAGTTTGTCAAAAGACCAATTTGTGACTCCGTATGTTATGCTTTTTCTAGCACTCCTGTCAGGGAAGATTTAAAGAATTCTAAAATGAGAACTGTCTCTTTTCTAGTTGGCCTGAAGTGTAAGTGGTAATTTGGATTTGCTTTGCCCATACTGGTAATGATTGTACAGTTAGATAAATGAATTTTAAAGCATGAAAGCTCTGCCTGCATTTCACAGGGCTTGTGTTGCCCATGGGGAAAAACATATCTCATGGTCCCTTAAGACTAAACAGAAGGAAGACTTTCTAATCTTGGAATTGGATTTTTTCTGAGGGCATGCGTATTTGCATAAATTACGGAGAAAAATCATTAGGGATTTTATTGTGAAGAATATATAAGCCAGTAAGATATCTACAAAAATCAAAACAAAGGAAAATTTCAACAATAGTTATGGATAAGCTATTAATTTCTGTCCCTTAACACCTTTCCCACTTCCTCATTAACTCTTTTCTCTATGTTGGTTAGTTATATTTATGCTCAGTTTTTGCTCAAATAATTTGTATTCTTTCCTCAGAAGTATGTTCTGATATATGGAGTGCATAAAATTACTTTGTAATTCTTGTGGGTATACTACTGGAATTTGACTGCTGAGGAAGCAGGAGGCCATCACATTGCTATGTTGAGGATTTACCATGATTCTAGTATATCTTAAGTTGTTTTGATCCAAAAGATTATTTCTCTCAAATTATCACACATCTTTTATCTTTTCTCTCACTTCAAGACCTGAGAAGATGAAATTGAGGCCCATCTTACAGGTGCAACAGAAATCTGTACATAGTTTAAGTAGTGTCTAAGTTCCTGTAAATCTTCTTTAATAGACAACTGTATTGCTCTGTGCAACAGAATCTGAAGGAGAAGGGCTCAGAAGTGACAGATTCAAGGTGAAAATATCTCTAAGCCACACAGATCAATTTTTGCTGGAGAAAGTACATGTTATACTAGTTAAGCTAATGGGAAAATTTCATTTTAAAAGGAAGGAGTAATGTGAGCAGATAACTCAAGGCACTCCCATAGAAGTCACAGAGATGAACAGGGTTATGGGAGAAGTAATCATACCTGCTGGGAAGATTATCTGAAGATGAGAGATTTCATCTTATTAGAAGTTGCATTATTTTAGATTTATTTTATTTATTTTTATTTTTTATTTTTCAGGGGAGAAGGCAACAAATCAAGACTCTAACCAGCTTAGGCAAAAGGAAGAACTTATATAAAGTGTACGGGGACGAGTTGAACAACCTACTCTACAGATAAGACTCCAGCTAGCCTAGGGACCAGCAATATTAGATCCTCTGCTTGCTTCTTTTTTCTGTAGACCAACTTTTCCACGGGAACACAGCTGCCTAGCACACCCAAGGTTTTCACTTTATGGCTTCAAGAATGAGAGACCAACTTGCTTTCTATATTTTTTCCTATCCAAGACCCAAATTCCTGGGGATGGGACTCACTGGCTCTGATTAGGTGAGGTATCCACACCTGGATCACAGATGATTAGCTGTGGCCAGAAGGAAGGGTCCCATTATAGCTGCACTATGATGGGAGGATGAAAAAGAGAGGGAGGAGCAGTTCCTAGAACAAGCACAGAAGCTAGAGAGACTACCCCAGAGTTTTCCATTGCAGAAGTACTACTCCAAATCATATGATTCATGAGATTTAATTGGAAGAGATGATTTGATGTTTGGGTACAAAAATTCCACTATCCCATCAGCATATTTTGATAAGATAGCAGTACCTAAAGGTTTACTAAGGTTTGCTTTAACAATTTAGATATGAGTAGTTTATTAATATTACTTTTATACATTTCTCTAATAGGTTATTCATTTTAAATTGCAGCTGGAGGCATCAATAAATCTAATGCAGTGACCTCATGTTACAGAAGAGAACTCTAAGAGGATAAATAACTTGGCCAAGATCACATGGTAAATAGTGAAAACATCTGGGCTGGAATCCAAGTGTTATTTTTTATCTAGTGCTGCTATCTTGATCTCATTATTTGTTTAGAAATACTTTATCTTTTGCCAAAAATATTTAACAATTATGAGTTCTTATTTGTACAATCTTTGAATCAAACTATACACAAATCCCAGGTCTCCCAGTGTCCAGTAGCAGCAAGACTTAGAGGAGGTCAGAACATTAGCTCAGAAACTGAGGAACATGAATTATATGCAGTGCTCCGTGCTGAGTGAAAGGCCACTTCTGCACAGAGATGACTTGCAAAGAAAGCTGCAGGAGAGGCCAGGATTTAGGAAGCAGCTTTGGCTTCTATTAGCTCCAGGATAGTACTGTAATGCTAGATCAGGGTATATCACAATTTAATATTGCAAAATCCAATAAAGATTTCAAAGCAAGCATTACCAGTAGGGGCGCCATGCATAGCAGACAGACAATAACATGTAAACCAGTGGCTCCAACCTTTTTGGCACCTGGGACTGATTTTGTGGAGGACAGTTTTTCCAGGGACTGGAGTGGGGGCTGTGTAGGGAGGTGTGGGGGTATTGGGGGTGTGGGAGTGTATGGGTGAAATGGGTAGGAGGGTGGTTTTGGGATGAAACTGTTCCACCTCAGATCATCGGGCACTTGATTCTTATAAAGAGTGTGCAACCTAGATCCCTCACAGTTTTGGGATGAAACTGTTCCACCTCCGATCATCAGGCCTTAGATTCTTACAAAGAGTATGCAACCTAGATCCCTCACATACGCAGTTCACAATAAGATTCACACTTCTATGAGAATCTAGTGCCGCTGCTGACCTGACAGGAGGCAGAGCTCGGGCAGGAATGTTCGCTTGCCTCCTGCTGTGCAGCCCAGCTCCTAACAGGCCACGAACCAGGGGGTGGGGGACCCCTGATATAAACAAACAAGCTAATTTAAAATAAAATAATACCTGCCATGAAGAGAGCAAAATGAAGGATGTGATAAAGAGTGAGGGGAGGCTACTCAAGATTGGGGAATTAGGGAAATTCTCTCTCTAAATCAGTGAATGATTCAATGAAAAGGAAACTGTCAAAAATCACAGATCAGTAACTTCAATAATAAAACTATTTGTCAATAAAAGCCCAAAACATTTGATAAAATTCAAAGTCCAGTTTTAAAATACCTTAAGTTAGAATATAGTTTTGCTATTTTATGACATCGAAACAGGAAAAACTTCAATAATAAAACCATATGTCAATAAAAGCCCAAAACATTTGATAAAATTCAAAGTCCAGTTTTAAAATACCTTAAGTTAGAGTATAGTTTTGCTATTTTATGACATCAAAACAGGAAAAACTAAGAATTTAAAGTTTTATAAAGGGTAGAGCAAATCTAGAAACACTGTCCTTTAAAAAAATGAACAAAGCAGCTGGGCACAGTGGCTCATGCCTGTAATTCCAGCACGTTGTGAGGCAAAGGTGGGAGGATCACTTGAGGCCAGGAGTTTGAGACCAGTCTGAGCAACACAGTGAAAACCCTGTGTCTGCAAAAAATTAAAAAACTAGCTGGGCACGGTGATGCATACCTACAGTCCCAGCTACTTGGGAGGCTGATGTGGGAGGATCACTTGAGCCCAGAAGGTCAAGGTTGCTGTGAGCTGTGATCGTGCCTCTGCATTCCAGCTTGGGCAACAGAGCAAGACCCTGTCTCAAAAAAGGAAGAAAAAGAAAAAGTAAACAAAGCAAAAGTGCCTTTTGTTACCATTATTTTCCAATTTAATGCTGAAAATTCTTTAAATCATAGTAGGCCCTCCAAAAGCAATGAGAATTAAATATTGGGAAAAGAGGAAACAAAGTTGTTATTTGAAGAAATAGAAGATCCAAATTAAGCCATCCCCACGTGCAACAAAACTGTTAGCGATATTAAAAACATTCAGTGAAATGGGCTAATACAAGATAAATCTGCAAACACCTATATCTTTCCTAAATGTCAGGAATAGCCAACTAGAAAAGTTAAATGAAAGAAGATCTTACTCACAATGTCAGCAAATTATAAAATATATGGAAATTAATGTGGAATCTTGAAAGCTTATAAACTGTGAAAGGAAAATAAATCTTAGGGCCCCCAAATTACTAAGCTAAAGCGAAAAGCCAAGCTGGAAAGTGCTTAGGGCAAATCTGCCTCCCATTTTATTCAGTCACCCCTCTGCTCACTGAGATAAATGCATATCTGATTGCCTCCTTTGGAGAGACTAATCAGAAACTCAAAAGAATGCAGACATTTGTCTCTTATCTACCTATGACCTGGAAGCTCCCTCCCTGCTTCAAGTTGTCCTGCCTTTTCTGGATGGAACCAATTTTCATCTTACCTATGTTGATTGATGTCTCATGTATTCCTTAAATGTAGAAAACCAAACTGTACTCTGACCATCTTGGGCACATGTCATCGGGACCTCCTGAGGCTGTGTCATGGGCACGTGTCCTCAGCCTTGGCAAAATAAACTTTCTAAGTTAACTGAGACCTGGCTCAGATTTTCAGGGTTCACAAAAGTATAAAAAGTTTAATGAAATAATTTTTAAAAACCCAAATGAAAGCAAAGACGTAGGATGACTGTGAATAGTAAAGAATATTTCCCAAATTAATGTATAGATTTACCATATTCCTATTAAAAACCAAAGAATACTTTATAGAACTCAATAAAATGATTCCAAAACTGCTTTCCAAAATAAATGGGCAGAATTCTCATATAGTAGTCTAAGAGAGGAAAAAATTATAAGGAAGAACTATTCTTGTTAGATACTAGGATTTTAAAGGAAATGAGTGGAAATGATATGGAATGAGTTTAAAAAATGAAGAGGTAATTGAACAGATAGATAGCCTAGTTTACACAGATGTTAAAGATATGATGAACTCAGCTTATGCAAGTAATGAAGTAATTAAGAAAAGAATCATGACTTAAGAACTGGTAAGAAAACCAACAGGTCATGGTAGCTCATACCTGTCATCCCAGCTGTTTGGGAGGCTGAGGCAGGAGGACTGCTTGAGCCCAGAAGCTTAAGGTTTCAGTGAGCCACTGCACTCCAGCCTGGGTGACAGATTGAGACTCTGACTCTTAAAAAAAAAAAAAGCATGGGTTGGAAACTTAATCCTCAGTGCAGCAATGTTGGGAGATGAGACCTAATGGGAGATGTTTATTTTCTACCCTCGTGAATGGATTATTGCTGAATAAAAAGGAGTTGAGCCTTCAAGTTTGACCTCTTGCTTGCGCACATGCTCTCTTATCCTTCTGCCCTCTACCATGGGATAATACACAAGAAGGCCCTTAACAGATGCTGACCCCTCAACCTTGAACTTCATATCCTCCAGAAATGTAAGAAATACCTTTTTTTTTTTTTTTTTTTTTTTTTTGAGACAGCGTCACTCTGTCACCCTGGCTGGAGTGCAGTGGCACAATCATGGCTCACTGCAGCCTCAACTCCTGGGCTCAAGTGATCCTCCCACTTCAGCCTCCCAAGTAGCTGGGACTACCTGACTAATTTTTTTTTTTTTGTGGTAGAGGTAGGGTCTCACTATGTTGCCCAGGCTAGTCTCAAACTCCTGGGCTCAAGTGATCCTCCCTGCCTTGGTCTCCCAAAGTGCTGGGATTACAGCATGAACCACTGTGCCCAGCCAAATTTCTTTTCTTTATAAATTACCCAGTTTGTGGTATTTTTCTATAGCAACAGAAAATGGGCTAAGACAACCAGATGTTAATATGGAGAAACTTTAACTTGGACATTTACCTCACACTACTTTATTCATTCTGCAAGAGGCTGCACATCAGGACTTTACCTTTTTTGAAATCTGGCATTAAATCATTCAAAAGTTGCCACATGTTTTCTTTTTAAAAGATGGAGTCATTGATTCATCTTTGGAGCAGACTTTCTTTGTTTTGGGAAAATTACCAGAATGGGCCTTTTGAATTACACACGTCTACAGCAAGTACTCACTTGTTGCTTTTTGAGGAGATTGAAGTTTCTAGTAAGCTGACAAGCTTCGTTTAGAAGTATAAATTGGGTTTAGTGGCTTGTGTATGTCCTTTCAAAATCAGAGGGGGAAAATATGTAGCCCTAGAATATGGATTTAGGTTGAATTGTCCTTGCAAAGTACAGTTTGTTTATTTATGTTGGAAGAGAGAGAGAGAGTTTTGTCTAAGTAATTGGTAACAGGAGATTATCTCACTGGACCATGCCAAGAGCATTGTGTAGATCTGAGCTCTTTATTATGGAGATAAAAATTGTGAAAGGGAATCACGGGACTAGGATTGGCATAATACCACCTGAATTTGGAGCATTGGTGCCTTTCACATTGTGTTATTTAAGACAGAATAACTCAGACTTGTAAAATGTACTGTTGACCTTTATCATTGCCTGTCTGGCCATAGGAGCCAGACTGTACTCTGCATAAGTGGGTGCTTCCACTGTCAATTATTTAATTTAACTCATTTAATTGTCACAACAGCCAAAACAAGCAGGGAATGGATTTGAAGAGGAAAGATCTCTTTCTGAATCTCTTCGTCCATCTCTACATCTCTTTCTCCTCTCTGCACACACACATACTCCCACCACAGTGGTTCTTAGGGCCAGTGTTCCAGAGTGTGGAGATGCCTGGCGATTTTCTGTTGATGGGGTGAGCTGGCCATTGCCACACTGTGTTCCCAAAGTAACTCCTTCCAGTAGTTGGTGGAATCTACACTGCATTGAGAGTCTCACTCTGTCACCCAGGCTGGCGTATAGTGGTGCGATTTTGGCTCACTGCAATCTCTACCTCCCAGGTTCAAGCGATTCTTGTGCCTCAACCTTCCAAGTAGCTGGGACTATAGGTGTGCACTGCCATGTCCAGCTGATTTTTGTATTTTTAGTAGAGACAGGGTTTTGCCCTGTTGGCCAGGCTGGTCTTGAACTCCTGGCTTCATGTGATCCACCTGCCTCGGCCTCCCAAAATGCTGGGATTATAAGGCATGAGCCACTGTGCCCAGCCTGCATTGTACTTCTTTCATACCCAAGTTTGCAGTACATTTTTGTTAATTGTTTTATTCATGTGTTACCTGTGCTCTCTATAATTAAGGGAGGGATCAGAATCTATGCTTGGAGAGTAACTGATAGGGCAGAGCAGTATTCTTGAGAAACTGGTGATGTGATGGCAGAAGTGACTTGCTGGACTCTAACAGCACTGACAAATGATTGTAGTAGTGATTTAGTGGAACATTTAACAGATCCATGGGAAGGAAATCCTCTGGAAGAATAGGTTTTTGTAGCCTATGGAATGCAAGTTCATAGTTTTTATAAGTTGGCTGTTAAAAAAAAAGTGACCTTATTATGTAATCTCAAGTGAGTGTGGTCTGTGGACTACTGGGGCCAATTCAGTTGTTCCTTCACTTACTCATTCATTCCACAAGTATTTATTGTAGTTCATTGCATGCTGGGACTGGGCTAGGCATATAGATACAATAATGATTCACAGAGTCTCTGCCCTTTAGGAGAAAACTACAGGAAGTTAAATATTAACAAATCAAATTGTAAGAAAACAAGAAGAAAAGAGGAGAGCAATCAGAAACGAAAAAATAGAAGATGGACACACATAACTATACAAACATTTAAAATATCTATAATGTGAAAAACAATAAAAGGAGCTTAAAAAGAAAACAAGAGACTGAGAGAATTACTTGTACTAAATATGAAAGATGAAGCAATGAAATTTTCAATATGTCAGTCTTTAGTCAAAAGTAAAGCCTGGCCGGGCACGTTTACTTATGCCTGTAATCCCAGCACTTTGGGAGGCCAAGGCAGACGGATCACTTGAGGCCAGGAGTTCGAGACCAGCCTGGCCAACATGGCAAAACCCTGTATTTGCTAAAAATACAAAAAAATTAGCCAGGTGTGGTGATGAGTGCCTGTAGTCCCAGCTACTCGGGAGGCTGAGGTATGGATTGCTTGAACCCAGGAGGCGGAGGTTGCAGTGAGCTGAGATTGCGCCAATGCACTCCAGCCTGGACAACAGGGCAAGACTCTGTCTCAAAACAAACAAATAAAAAACAGCAACAAAAAACAAAACAAAACAAAAACTAAAGCCTAACGCCAAACCCCTAAAAACAAAAGGGCACTAACAGCATTCAAAGAAAAGGAAATAGTCACTTAACTTACAAAATGCCTTCAGTAGCAATTAAATAAATTCACATTAAAAAAATAAGGTAATGTCTCACACTTTATAAATTTAAAGGTGTAAGAAAATCCATAAATTTATAATTTCTCACACTTAACAAATTTAAAAGTATTAGAAAATTTGGAAAGTATAAAAATAAAAATTCATTCTGGGCAACAGAAGCAAGTGGAAACTCTCTGTTACGCACTTTCAACCACTGAGATTTCTATTTTATGATGGATTTATCAGGCTGTAACCCCATGGTAAGTGTCAAGGAGCATCTTTAGGTAACACCTAGATGTTGAATCCTACATGCTGAATTAATGCCAGACATTTTTCTAAGTGCCTTTCATATGTTAACTGATTTAATCTTCATAGCAGCCATATGAACTGGGAATTTTATTATCTCCATTTTACACATGAGGAAACTGAGGGAAACAAAGATTAAACAAATTGCTTAAGATCACATGGTTGGTCAATGGCAGAGCTGGGATTTGAGGCTAGAGAGTAGGACTCCAGGGTGTGGCCTCATTATCATTGTACCATGCTGCTTCAGTGGAAGAAAAGAGCTCTATAAACAAAGATGAGGCTTGCAGCATCATTATTTACGAGGTAAAAGGAAAAAATACGGGGGAAAACTACATGTTCCACAGTAGGAGAATGGTCAAATATATTATGGCATATTCATTCAATAGGTAATTGCTCACCAGAATTGTTCAGAACTTTTCTTTCGTTTTCCTGGGGTACAATGGTATGGGCCACAGACTTCACAAAAGTATTACTTATCCTTTTGTAGTCTTATGTCCCCACATATTTGAGAAATTCATGAGAATAAGAAGGCCCTGTCCCAAATGGACACTTCACCATTTTCTCCTGCAGTGGTCCGTGGCTCCATATATTATGTCATTAGATGTACTGAGAGTTGCTGGAGTGTGAACTCTTTAGGAGTACAAATAACCACCTTCTCTGGATACTTAAGCCACACTTAATGAACTCACACATTTCTTTGACCTCACAGGTCCAATCCTTGTCCAAGTAAAGCTGTTTCTTATCATAAATATATTAACACAATTATCAACCTTTTTTTTTATCATAAAGGGCTGTGAAGTGCTAAGATTTTTGTGTTGTAAATGTTTTCAAAATATTAAAAGTAATTTTTATTTATGTAGAAACAAGGAAAGAAAAGCACATTAATTATGTATTTTAGGATAAAGTCTTTTCATACTTAAAAAAGATTAGTTACAAAAATGATGTATCACATTTATTAGGTGTATACCATGTGCCAGGAACTATGCTAAGCTCTTTACATAATTTATGCTTTTAATCCTCTCAATAGCCATATAAAGTGGATATTATTTATTATCATCACGTTACAGATGAGAACACAGAAGCTTAGAGAAGTTTAGTCACTTGCCCTAGGTCACACAATTCATAAGTGGAGGAGTCAGGAACTGTCTGAATCCAGAGATCAAGCTGTTAATCATACTGATGCTATCTTTTTCTTCCTCTTCTTTTCAAAAGATAAATTTGGAGTTACTGTCTCTAACGCTTAATTCTATGATGAAGTTCTATGTCTGTGGTCACAAATAACATTATAACCAGTTGCCTTGGAAATGAAGACGATATAATAAATTACAACTAGAAGTGGCTTACCATATTGCATATGAAGTTCTTTGAGGAGAACCCTGCCATAATCATCAAATAAAGAAGAAAAACAAGTAAGGGAACATAAAAGCAGAATACAGCATACTCTGTCAACAAATTTACATGTATGGTTTATAAATATGTTTTCTAAAAGGAATATTGTATATAATAAGTGATAATCTCAATAGGGAATGAAGTTTTGAAATTGCCTAAATATGTATTGGTTTCAACTATAACTCTTTCAGAAGAATCTCTTCCTTTTTCTACTGGCTCAACCATACAAAGTACAAGGAATCTCACTCATACTGAACATTTTCCATTTAACTCGAAGGCTGACACCTGTTCCCAAGTGGTAAGGTGTACCATTTTTGACAGAGCTCCACCATGCTGAGCCATGAATAGCCTCCAATATTTCTATTTCTTTTTCTTTCTTCTTTGATCATATTGTTGAACTTGAGAACAAAGAAGGTTCTTAGAAACATAGGAAAAGATTGATAATTCTGAAGTCATGGTAACAAGTAACCACTATAACTTGCTTTAAATCTGTTCTATCAACTCAGTAAACACAATTTTGCAATCCAACTACTCTGTCAATCTCACTTATGAAGGTCAGTCAATCAGGGACAAACTCATTCCAATAAGCATGTTTCTGAGCGGTACCCAATCAACAATAGTCTCACCTGAGTAATCACACTTCTACAGATGATGTCAATCTACTTATGTTTCTGAGAGTCAACCAATTCCTAAATGCTATGCTTTCTTGAAACACTATATAAGATCAGCCATCTGTTCTGCTTGAAAAGGCTGTGCCTGACCCACATCTCTTACTGTAACAAGCAATAAGTTAACTTTGTCTTTGTATGTTAGATATTGAATGTTGGTCTTCATTTGGCAGCCTTCTAGAGGACCATTAGGCCAACAGATGCACTCACTGGACACCTTGTACCAAAATTCTATTTACCCTTCAGATATGTTGCCAAGTTAGTTAATCTCAACAATAATCTGATCTCTGGCTAGTTTCATTGACTCTTGGTGCTGAATTTATTTTGTTATTCTAGAATTTGTAGCCAAATAGGTCTTTGCTTAGGCCTAGGTCGTTGCAAAAAGCAATTAGGCGTTTTTTGGTTTTTAATATAAACCATACAATAAACAATTAGACTTAGAACTTTTTATAAGACAACAACTAGACCTTTTGTTTTGGAGGTATGCCATTTGATATACATATATTCTTTACTATTAACATGCTTATTCTTTTGCTGCTTGCCTTTTGCTCTTGTTTGTCTGTATGTACAAAGTCTTGTTTCATGTGTTTTGTTTTATCCTGGATTGTCTGTTTCTATTGAGTGTATAAGGGAGTGTTTCATAGAGAACATATGGGAGTATAGACCAGATAAGTTTCCAAAACAATGAAAGTGGCCTTAAGAACTAATAGCTGGAGGTCCATCAGACCAGCAATCACTTGGTGAAAAAAGGGTTGGCCAAACATCGTCTAGGGACTCCTATAAATCCTTTATGAGGGTACCCTTTTTCTTGTTAATTTGGAAAAGAAGCTTACTTTGTTTTGTCCCTTCTACAGAGTCAAGAATTGTCAGGTTGTTGACTGTGTTGTCCCTGTATAGTTTATTCTTGGTTGGGGAAACCTAACACCCTTCAAAACCTCACGATGTAGACTGACTGTAGTGGCTTCTTTCTCTTGTGTGTTATGGGTTTGTCCATGCGAATGCCTCATCCTCCTGAAAGAACTTCTATTTCCTTTAAGAAGCACCATAATTTTTAACTTTTCATTTTTATTGAAAAACAGCAAAAAGAAAAATTGTCTTGGAATAACGATGCCATGTTTTGACATGTCCAAATCTTTAAATTAATACCTTTAAGAGAAACGCTAAAAAGTTAGGAGACAAAATACCAAATAGTCAATAGTCTTCTCTAATTGATATTCCAAGGCCTTGAAAAATAATTCTAACTCCAAGAGAGTCTCTCTCAAAGACTTTGTAAACTTTTGAGAGCTATCTACTTTGCGGTTTTCTCTTTTTCTACTTAACTTTACCTGACCTTCTAAATGAGCTACTCTTTTGTCAGGGCAATAATAATTATTTTATAAAATTTCTAGGCCATAAGGATGAATTAAAAATTCTGGTCTACAGCCAAGTTAAGGGCTATAATAAAGGATTTTGCTAAATTTTCAGAATATTGGCAGAAAATTGTTATGGAAGTCAAAATTTTATTACATACTCGATTTCTTCTACCACAGATCTATACCAACTTGTTCAGCTAAGTGTTAGCTTCTTAGTTATAGATGCTTAGTAAGCGGAAAGATAGGAGAGAAAAGATTTGTCAACCAATTATGTAAAGTTTTTAAACGTTGTCTGAAAACATCAATAAAAATTCAAAAATTAACTACAATAAGGAAACTTAAGATGACATTTCAATGGAAAAATTAAAAAGGTTCAAATTATAAACAAAGCAAAGATGAAAAACAGACTTCACGAAATATTCAAGAAGCTACCATAAAACCATAGCTAGAGAATTGTATCTTCTCTTATTGTGAGTGGAATCCATCCTGAAATAGAGAATTTAATAATGAAAATTAAGTTGAAATGTAAAATTGCCAATTTAGAAAGTATTCAATGTGTGTCAGACATTTCCAGAGTCTTAGAAAGTAAATAAGCTGAAACTCAATATAGTGCTTGGCTCTTTAGTGAAAAAACAACCATAAAAACCTCTATTCTCTAAAAATTGGAAGTCTATGAATAAGGATACCTGTAGTTGTTGAAAGTACAATAGTAATTTAAAGACTCAATATTCCATACTGGCTAAGAGACAGAAGGACAATTATTCGAAGTCTGTCCATTTTATTCATTGATCGATTAATCCATTAATGAGGGCAGAACCCTCATGATCCAATCACTTTTTAAAGCTTCCACCTCTCAATACTGTCACATTTGGGATTAAATTTCAAAATGGGTTTTGGAGGGGGCATTCAAATCAAAGCATTCTGTCCCTGCTCCTCAAAACTCATGTCCTTCTCATGTACACATACATTTATTATATCCTTGTAGCCCCAAAGTCTTTCCTCATTCCAACACTAACTCAAAAATCCAAAGTCCAAAGTCTCATCTGTGAGCCTGTGAAATAAAAATGCAATTTGCTCTTAAAATATAATGGTGGGACAAGCATGGAGTACACATTCTCATTCAAAAAGAGAGGAATAGGCAAGAAGAAAGGGGTAATAGGGTCCAAGCAAGTATGAAACTCAAGAGAGCAAATATTGGGTCCGGAGACTTCAGAATAATCTCCTCTGACTTCCTGTTGGGCATCCTCTACATACTGGTGGAAGGGTTGGGCCCCCAAGGCCTTGGGAAGCTCTGTCCCTTTGACTTGGCTGGGCTCAGTACACCCAGCTCTCCCAGGCTGGCATTGCGTGCTGGCAGCTCTACTGTTCTGGGGTCTCAGTGGCAGTCTCACTACCATGGCTTCAGAAGGCATTGCCCTATTGAGAACTCTCTGCAGTGACCTCACTTCCACAATGCCACTAGGCATTGCCCTGGTGGGGACTTTGCAGTGGCTGAACTCTCTTGACTAGGTATTACTGTAGTGGGACTCTCTGTGATGGCCTCACTTCCACAGCTCCACTAGGAATTGCCTTGATGGGGACTCTCTGCAGCAGTCACAATCCTGTATTTCTGCTTGGCATTGGTCTAGTGAGGCTTCTAGCAGTGGTTCTGCCCCTGTAATTAGTCTCTGCCTAGGCCCCCAGGCTTTCAACAATACCTTTTTAAGTCTAGGTAGGGGCTGCCAAGCCTCCACAGCTCTTGCTTTCTGTAAGCCTGCAGAATTAGCACCATGTGGATGCCACCATGGTTTATGACTTGTACTTTCCTGAGCTGCAGCACAAGCCATACCTGAGGCTTAGAAGTGCTGTGTTGGGATACAAATAGCACTCCGAGCCTGTCCCCTGAAACTATTCTGCCCTCCTGTGCCCTTGAGCCTATGATGGGAGTGGTAGCATCGAAGATCTCTGAAATGCCTTCCATTGCCTTTTTTTTTCACTGTCTTGAGGAATAGCACCTCACTCCCTTCTATCTGTGCTAATCTCTTTAGAAAATGGTTTGTGGGCTACACCCTTGGTTTCCTCTACTGAACATGCTTTTAAACTCTTTACTTTCCTAGGCTGAGGGTTTTCCAAATCTTTCTGTTATGCTTTCATTTTAGTTATAAATTCTGTGTTTAAATTACTGTTTTTTCTCCAAAATCTCAGCATAAGCAGCTAAAATTAACCATAAGCTCCTTCTATATTTTGTTTAGAAATTTCTTCTGCTAGATACCCTAGTTCATTAGTCTCTACTTTGGCCTTCCATAAAGTTCTCAGGCATGGGCACAGTTCAGCCACATTCTTTGCCAATTAATAACAAGGATAGCCTTTACTCCAGTTTCCAATATCTTTGTCCTCAGTTCCATCTGAAACCTCATCAGAATGGCCTTTATTGTCCATATATTTTTCTTAAAAATTTTTTATTGATGCATAATTGTAAAGATTTGTGTGGTCCATTTAATATTTGATACATTCATACAATGATTAAATCAGAGTAGGATGTCCATCACCTCAAATATTTATCATTTTTCTGTGTTAGGAACATTTCAAATCTTTTCTAGCTATTTTGAAATATACAATAAATTATGGTTAACTATATTCACTCTACTATGTTATCAAAAACTAGAAATTATTGCTTCTGTTTAGCTGTATTTTTGTATCTATTAACCAACCTCTTTTCACCCCCAGTTCTCCCCTACTCTTCTCAGCCTCTCGTAATCATTATTCTACTCTGACCAAGAGACCAACTTTTTTACCTACCACATTTGAGTGAGAACATGTGATATTTGTGTTTCTCTGCCTGGCTTACGTCACATAACATAATGTTCTCCAGTTCCATCCTTGTTGCTGAGAATGACAGAATTTCATTTATTTTTCATGGCTGAACAATATTCCATTGTGTATATATGCTACATTTTCCTTATCCATTTGTTTTTGGACACTTAGATTGATTATATATGTTGGTTATTATGAATAGTGCTG